CATATAAGTTTTTAATTTTGATAAAGTCCAGTTTATTTTTCTTCTGTTGCCTGTGCTCTTGGTGTTATATCCAAAAAATCTTTGCCAAATCCTATGTCATGAAAAATTTTTCCTATCCTTTCTTCTAAGAGTTTTTAAGATTTAGTTTTTACATTTACATCTTTGATCCATTTTGGGCTAACTTTTGTATATGGTGTAAGGTTAGGGTCCAACTTCATTCTTTTGCATCTGGATATCTAGTTTTCTGAGCATCATTTGTTGAAAGGACTGGCCTTTACCTATTGAATGGTCTTGGCTTCCTTGTTGAAAATCAGTTGGCTATATATGTGAGGGTTTATTTCTGGGTTCTCTATTTATTCCACTGGTTTAAATGTCTGTAGTTAATGCTAGTACCATTGTTTTAATTATTGTAGTTTTGTAGTAAGTTTTGAAGTTTGAGTCCTCCAACTATTCTTTTTTTTCAATATTGTTTTGTTATTTAGAGCCTCTTGTAATTCTATACGAATTTGAGTGTCAGGTTTTCCATTCTGCAAAAAAAAGCTATTAGACTTTTTATTGGATTGTGTTGGATCTGTAGATAGCTTTGGGTAGTACTGTCATCTTCACAATATTAAGCCTTCCAACTCATGAACACAGCATGTCTTTCCACTTATTTGTGTCTTCTTTAATTTCTTTCAGCAGTGTTTTGTAGTTTTCAGTGTATAAATATTAAAGCTCCTTGGTTAAGTTTATTCCTGAATACTATTATTATTATGATCATCGTCATCTATTTTAAAAGTATTTTATTCTTTTTGATGCTATTGTAAATGAAATGATATTTAAAATTTTTCTTTTTGGATTGTTCATTACTAGGGTATAGAAATGCAACTGAGTTTTGCATGTTGATTTTATGTCCTGCAACTTTGCTGAATTCACTTATTAGTTCTAACAATATTTTTGTATGTGTATGGAATATAATCATTAGGATTTTCTACATATAAGAAATGTTGTCTGTGAACAGAGATAATTTTACTTCTTCCTTCCCAATATGGATGCCTTTTATTTCCTTTTCTTGCCTAATTGCTCTGGCTAGGACTTCCAGTACTCTGAGAATAGAAGTGGTAAGAGTATGCATCCTTATCTTGTTCTGATCTGTGGGGAAAAGCTTTCAGTTCTTCACCAATGAGTATGATGTTAGTTACAGGTTTTTCTTATGTATTCACTTGTGTTTTCTTCTGCATTGTCTAATCTGCTGTTAATCCCATCCTGTGTATTTTTTTTTTAATCTCAGACATTGTCATTTTCATCTCTAGATGTTTGATATGGGTTTTTAAAACCTCTCTCACGTCAGCTTAACTTTCTGAACCTGTGTGGTGTACAGTTATGTGTTTTTAATATCCTTCTTTGCTAGTTTTAACATCTTTGCTAGTTCTGAGTCAGTTTCTCTTGATTGCTTGTTTTTCTTTTGATAAGGCAGATGATTCCATTGATATGTTCTGGTTTCCCATTCATTGGTATTTCTTTACAGTGTAGTTGATATTATCTTTGGTAAATTTTCATGTCTCACTTATTGCTTGTTTCAAAGGCTTTATTGGTTATATTATCTAGTTTTAACTAACTTAACCTTCATAAAATAGGCGTGTGCCTATAAAAAGATTCCTGCAGAGGAACAGAATTGAATATTGTATTAAAAATGCAAGCCCAAATGAACAACTAGAGAAAAGCTGAAGTGACAGTTCTTCTGTGATTTTGTAATTTATGATAAGAAATATACGTTTGGTTCCTAGCACTGAACTCCGAAAACCCTTGGATTTTCTTAAGTGATAAGAATCATTAAAGATGTCTTTTGTTTTTCTTTTCTTTTTTTTTTTTTCTTTTTTGGCTGCACCACATGGCTTATGGGATCTTAGTTCCCCGACCGGGGACTGAATGAACTTGGCCCCCGGCAGTGAAAGCACCGAGTCCTAACCACTGGACGGCCAGGGAATTCCCAGCATGTCTTTTGTATTTTCATAACAAGCCTTTTTCAACTACACCTCAGTTTATGTTAATGATGTGACTTCTAGAAAGCCCCTAAGCATAGAGGCTGGTTGCCAGGAGAACCAACCATGTATTGGGTTGGCCCAAAAGTTCGTTCAGGTTTTTCTGTAAGATGCTATGGAAAACCCAAACAAACTTTCTGGCCAGCCCAATAATTAGAGGGTTGGAACTTTTCAGCCCTATCTTACCTCCCTCACTTCCAGGGTGCGGAGAGAGGCTGGAGGTTTTGTTTAATCACCAAAGGCAAATGATTTAATCAGTCCAGCCTCCATAAAAAAACCCCACAGGTTCAGAGAGCTCTGTGTTGGTGAACATGTGGAGGTACTGGAAGGATGGCATGCTTGGAGAGGGCATGAAAACTGTGTCCCTTCCCCATACCTTGCCCTGTGCCCAGATCTCTTCCCGCTGGCTGTTCCTGGGTTGTATCCTTTTATAATAAAATGAAAATCTAGTAAGTAAGTAAGTAAACTGTTTTCTTGAGTTCTTTGAGCTACTATATCAAATTAATCTAATTGAGGAGGGCTTATGGGAACCTCTGATTTATAGCCCGTTGATCAGAAGCACAGGTAACAATGTGGACTTGAGATTGGACTCTGAAATGGGGGTGTGGCAGTCTTGTGGGACTTCGCCCTTACCCTGTGGGATCTATCTTTTAACTTCAGGTAGATCATGTCAGAACTGAATTGAATTGTGGGACACCCAGCTGGTGTCCCTGGAAAGTCAAAGAATTGGTAGTTGTGGGAAAAACCCTATGTATTGGGTCACAGAAGTGTTCAGTGTTGTAGAGGAGAAACACAGGAGTGTTTTTTCCTAAACAGTCTGCTTCTATTATGAGCTCCTTGTTTGTCATCCACATGAGGAGGCTGAAAAGATAGTTTAATCAAATGTAGTGAGAAGTTGGCAAAATAAAATTTATCAGAAATATTCCCACTGCTGCCACCAATAAGGCAAATTAACAGCCACTTGCAAAACAGAAGACCCAGACTTGGTGAAGGAGCAGTCTGAGCATCTAAGAGCTAAAGAGATCAATGTCTGCACATGAGATCCACCAGAGGAACCAAGGGAGGATGAATGAGAACTGAAGGTCCTGTGTCCAGGAGAGGTACCCTTTCAGGTTGCCTGTCTCTTGACTTTGATGGTAGGACTCCAGGGGCAGTGTTTCCTGAGGGTGTTATCTGTAGCTTTCAAATCTAACATGTCAGAAGAGTAACTTGGAGACAGTTATTGATATGCAAATTATACGTATGACAGAGAAAGTCATTAGACTGCCAAGAAATATATGCAGGAAATTATAAAAGAGAAAGAGGATATTGGGGGAGGGAAGGAGAACACAAACATTCTGGGAACATTGAGTTTCTTTTCCTGGGTAGACTAGCTGGTAGCAGTCTGCCCTTGAGCAGATTTGTCTTAGGTGTGTAAGAATAGAAAAGTTCTTTCTATCTTCTCTGGAGAACCTTGAGAATTTAACTGTGGAGCATGTGTGACAGGCCGTCTCTTTGCGATGTCTACCAGTGGCCTTCATTTAGTATCTCTACCAAGTTAGAACCATTTCTTCCATCCACATTTTCTCAAGTTTGGGTGTCTTTTTTTTAAGCTATATGAGTAAAATGTAAATAATTTCATATTTTTTATAAAAATGGTGTGGCAGATTTCTTTATCTAGACCTGGTGAATACAAGATTACTTAATATATAGAATTTTTTGTTTGTTTTGCCTCAAAGAAACTACACTTAGGTTTTCCTTGGACTGTGCAATTGGCACTGTCCCTTAACTTGTGGTTGCCTGACATTCTAGGAATGACTTTATTAACTTCTTTATCACCTTAGCCCAAGACACCAAACTATTTTTTTTTAATCTTTGGCATGCAGAAAGACCTGGTGTAATGCATGTTTTGAAATGCATTTTTATTACCTAATTTGTGTGTGTAATGGATTATCAGAAATCATCCAAGAATTACTAATATATTTCCATATTGGTGACAGGTGTTCTAGGAAGCATTTAGTATTTGAGCATTTACATATATCATCTTAGTTGTGGCTGTTTTGAATGAATTGTGATAAGCTAAAATCTTTTGAAAGTTTCTTTCCAAGTGTCTTGAGTTAATGTTTTCCCTCTGGCCAGTGGGATAGACTGCACATTATTTTTGATACTCTTTTAAGACATGTGGGCAGTTACTGTTCATTTAAGCCAGATGGCATGTGTCAAGTCCTTTTCCAGGGCAGGGAGAGGTTTTGGGGGCTGCTGTAGTAGAGCCCAGTATGACTTCTTACGGAACTTGTCTTCTCTTCATATAAATCAGTACATACAGATTTCACTGCACTTCGAGCACTCCTCTTTAACTTATGAAGATTCTTAAAGGATTGGGCATGAACATTTTTTGTGTGTAAATTCTCTTTTTGCAATTGTGCAGTAGCAAGTGATTATTGATAAGGTTATATAAAATGAATAGTTTTTTAGGATAAAAACAAAGAATTCTTAAGGCAAGAAAAGAGGGGCCCTTTTATAATTTTACCAGTCTTCCAAGCTGCCCACAGCCAGAATCTGACTTAGGGTGTTGGCCAGCTGTGGACAACGCTCCTAATAATAGCTTAGGGGGCCCTGGGAAAGTGCCCCGACGCACAGTCAGCCAGAGATCTTCTCTACATCAGTACGGTGAACTCTAGCTCTTGGCTTTTAATGTGCAGGGTCGATCACCACCTTACCCCTTACACTTTCATTTTTTTCAATAAAACGTTTGCTTTTTCAAGAAGTACAGGTAGGTGAATAAATTTTACAAGCATTTGGTTTTCATTTTTCTCGATTAAATTCTAAGCTGCTAAACTTTAGTGACACTTTTTCTTTTATCTTCACATCCATAACTAAGAATTCGGATGTGAATTTGGGCATTTAATAAAGTGGCTTTTCTGTTTCTTCATTTTCTTGGTAACTGATTTAAAATGTATGTTTTACTGGAATTCTTATCAAAATTTTCATTTTTCCAAGGTGTTGACTTTAAGGTGAAAACAATTTCAGTGGATGGAAATAAGGCTAAACTTGCAATATGGGTAAGAATTTTTAAAATGTATTCTGTGTAAATATTAAACTTGTACTTTTTGAAGAAGCAGAAATTGATGTGTGTAGTGTTCTAGAGGTGAATGAGCAATGTGTGTTTAATAACTTGGGAGATTTGATGTTCATTAAAGGATAGACATAAATAGTTATAATTCTGTAATCAGGCAGAGACTTGTTTTACTTACTCAGATTTTTAAAATATATAATCCCTTCAGAATATTTGAAAACAGAGTATTAAAAAAATCATCGTCTGCCAGAGAGAATCATTGTTATTGAATGTGTTTCTTTAAAGTTTTAAAAAGACAACCTACTCTGAACTAATGCTAAAGGCAGTTGTTGGGGAGAAGGGAATGAAGTGATAGAAAAAATGATTTTTCATGTTTGTTAGTGTAAATATAAAATTTGAGCTTTCCAACTTTGGATTTTTTTTTAATACTGACACCGAGTGTTTACTTACTAGCGTCTTTTCATTTGCCTGTTAACCCAATGAATGGTTCTGATCCGCATTCTCTGCTAATTAGACCTCTTCCTGGTAGTGCTGAATAAGGTAGCACTAGCTGCCGGAACGTCCAGGTTACTCAGTCTGCGTCTGTCTGCTTCTCTTTCTGCCTCTCCTTCCTTCCTTCCTATCTCTGTCTCTCCATCTAAGTATGATTGCTTATATATTGAATATATTACATATAAAATTTATAAAAATATACTCATAAGCTAATTCCCACATATGCTATAGTTAAGTATCTAAGTATATTTTTATAACATGATAATAATATTAGGACTGGTCTGCAGTCATCAAATTGAGTCATATTTCGGTGGCTAAGTAGTAAATGCTGGCTGGGTGGGTGTCAATTACAGATTGAAACAGCAAGTGTTCATGCATTGTATGATCTCATTCATGTTAATGGCATTCTCTGAATGGCACACTATTTCTCACACACATTTTATTCCAAATGACTGTGTGTCTTATGTTTTTTTGGTCAATTTTTTTCTAAGATACAATGCTTTATATGATTGGTAGCCTGTTTGTCCCTTCCCCAAAATATGTTTAATATCAATCAGTACAGTAATGTCTAACAAGAAACAATTTGGAAAATGTTGGACTAGACCACAGTAAAATATATATTGAAGTTTAAGAATGCTCCCTTCTTTCCGAACTGAAGTGGAGCCTGATTTTCCATGTTTTTCTTGTTTGATTTATTACCTCTTCTGCCGTTGCTCCTGCTGTGACATATACAATTTAGAATAGGATCTGAGGCTTGATGGTTGCTGTGAGATCTTACTTTCATACAAGAGGTTTTTTGTTTGTTTGTTTTTAATTTAGTTTCTAGTTCCTGCTCAGTAAAAAGGTTGGCAGGTGTTACTGAAGTGACATCTTTATCATAGGCTTATAAATATTTTTTAAGTAAGAGAGGCTTCTCCTGACTGCAAGGATAATATAGTTTCATTCTAAAAAGGATAATCAAAATGGTATGAAATTAATAGAGAAGAAAGTTCATCTTTAACCAATGTCTGCATTTTAGTGAACATCCTATAAAATATGTCAGACACATGCACATTGTTACACGTGTTGTATATGCAACTTTCTGAAAGAAAGGATTCACCTGCTTGTCACCCTCCCCCCAACACACTGTGTACATTATTCTGCGTCAATAAATATAGAAGTACATCAGTTTAAATGACCATCTTAAGATATTTACACCGTTAATAGTTTTTCACAAAGATCAGAAGTGCTGTGATGAGCATACTAATTTTTACATCTGTGTGTACTTGTCCAGTTACTTTACAGTGTATACTTAGAAGCTGAATTATTGTCTCAAAGAATATGAAGACTTAACATTGGGGTATAGGAAGAAGGTCTTCTGTACTATATATTGTTAATCTTTCTCATTTTTGCCTTTCTGAGTAATAATTTTTCACTTATATTTGCATTTCTTTTGATTAGTGAGATTTTTTCTTACATATTTATTGATTATATTTTAATGAATTTTCTTATATGCTTTGCCCTTTTTATATTAGCTTTCATCTTTTTCATGATTAAAGTCTTTATATAATAAAAATACTAGCTTTTTGTCATATGCCACATTTTTTCCACTCTGTCATTTGTCTTTAAAATCTTATTTAAGAGGAGTTGGGCTTCCCTAGCGCGCAAAAAGAAAAAAAAAAAAAAAAGAAAAAAAAAAAAAAAGAGGAGTATACATTAATGTTCTTGTGTGTGTGTGTAATATGTCATATACTGCAGATTTTTTCCCCTAGTTTGTCATTTACTTTCAAATCTTGTTGAGGATGAGTGGGGGGGGGGCGGGGAGAGAGCATGGTGTTGGGGAGGGGTGTTCTTGCCATACCAAGGGTTCAGTATTTACATGATTAAATCAGTTATTTTCTTCATGCACCTGAGTGTCATGTCATATTTAGGAAGGCCTTCTCACTCAGGATTAGAAATATATGAATCTACTTCATGTAAATAAAATCGGCTCCTCTCCCACTTGGATGCTCCTTCTAGGATTATTCAAATAGAATAGTCAGGCCCAGCCCTGCCTCCTGTGCCCCCGAAAGTGCGGCACACACATCATGACCTACTTGGCACCCACCTCTGAGGTGGTTCTTCTCTACATCCTTCCCTCACTTCTACTCCCCACATTCTGTCATTTAGCCTTTCTAGATCCTTTCCAGCTTTGTCCGTTTCTGTCTTTAATAATCCTCTCTTCTCCCATCAGAAAATAAAACCACATACAATAAGCTCTGCTTCCTTTATCTTACAAAGATGTTATTACTTACTGCAAATTCCTGTTTTGAAGGCAAGCAAAGATCTAACTTCTGACTATTTAAACATAAAAATTTTATAGTCATTATAAATTCTGATCCATCTGAGCTTCTGCTTGCCCCGTAGCTAAACTCACTCTTACAACCATGGGACTGGCAGTTGTTAACATTTGATATACGTCTTTACTTTTCTTCAGGTTATTTTACATTAGCAGACTGCAAACTTTTTCTTAAAAGACTGGAAAATATTTACTTCAACCCCAAGGTGGGCCGTACAGCAGTACATAAGTGAATGGGCCTGGCTCTGTTCCAGGGAAACTTTATTTAATAAAAACATATAATGAAACAGGTGGTGGGCTGAGGCAGCAGTTTAGCAACTGCTGCTTTGCTTAATCTTAGGTAGATTTGAGCCACAGTCCGAGGATGGTAGAAAGAAGACAGAAGGAACCAGGCCCAGAAGAAGAGACTTGTTAATTAGTTTACTCCTTTTTTCAACAAAAGTTGAGCAACTATTCTGTGGCAGGAATTTCTCTGGGCTCTGGGGTTAAACTGGTGATTGAGCAGATGTGGTCCCTTCCTTGTGAAATTTACATTTCCTAGCTTGTGTACGTCTTATATTCATGACCCCTAATATGAGTCAGAAATGTAATAAGGAGTGGTTTGGTTTTAATGCATTTTCCTGAAAGAAAATACATAGAAAACATTTTTAAAAGTACAACCTAAAAATTGCCTACTTAAAATAAAACACCCCTGTAATTCTCTTTAAATCACTGGTTCTCAACCTTGATTCTGTGTCAGAATCACCTGGTGGGAAGAGTATTAAAACTTCTGTCATACCCTCGTTAAGTCAGAATCTTCATGGGTTCAAGCAAGGCGTCTGTATTTTTCATTTCCCAGGAAATTTTATTGTGCCACCGGAGTTGAGAACCATGGCCTTCAATGAAATGGGTTTCATGTGTGATAAAAATCTTAAATTCAAAATTGTAGAAAACCTATACTTTGTTACATTTTTTCTAGAGATGAGGCAGTATTTGTTAGTTTTTATGTTACATTTGTCAGTAAAAAACAACATGTCTTACTTAAATTTTAAGTTTTAAATGAGCTTGATATTTTAATAATGCTGTTCAACTTTCTGCTCTTAAGTTAGTATGTTGAAGGTTTTTATTTATACTTTTGTTTAATAATAATTGATTGCCACTTTTAGGATACTGCTGGTCAAGAAAGGTTCAGAACATTAACTCCCAGCTATTATAGAGGTGCACAGGGTGTTATATTAGGTAAGGTTTTACTTTAATATACCGTTTAAAAAATATTGTTTTATTACTGGGGAATTTCTAATTTTCCTTGTTTGTGAAGGTCAATAAGTTTTTGTTTCATTTTTCTTTAGGGCTACTTTTATGTGACTTGAAGTTATATTAACTTCATGTAATATTAATGAATATTTAAACTTTTAAAATTTTGTTTCAGCCCTTTGTCTAGCAATTTAAAAATAAAGATCAGAAACATGTACTAAGGAGTGGTTTGGATTTATGCATTTTCCTGAAAGAAAATACATAGAAAACATTTTTTAAAGTACAACCTAAAAATCGCTTACCTAAAATAAAACACCCCTATAATTTATCTGGTTTAAAAGCGCGTGTTGCTGAGGACATAATTGAGGACCAGTCCTCCTGTCATTGGTCTGTCTTAGAGTATTACCAGAAACCAGTCTTCAGTCAGCAGCTTACGAATATTTACTGCCAGATTATAAAAGGCGGCGAGTGTTGGTTGCTTAGCGGAATCTGTTTTATTAGTCTTGAAAAATAGCACAAAGCACTTAGTACTGTTGATTTATAATCACACGGAACTTAAAAGCCAAGTGTGGATTTTCAATATAATTTATTGAAAAGTGCTTGTTCTTAATATTCCTGAGAAACTGTTTAAAATGAATATTGATCAATTGTAGGGAGAAATCTCTTTTTATAGATCAGGACTTGTGAGACTTTGATTTCATTTCTGTTAACTTGACAGTGACTCTCATAGTTTTGGTTCAGCATCTCCTAAGTTTAGAAAACACTTTAAATTAATAAGCTCTTTATTTAGTAAAATGCAGAGTGATGTGAGATGAAAGTGAAAACAGGAAGACGATCAGGTTTCCACCCACTAACTTTACATATTTTTTTCAAATTTTCAAATTCTGGTCCTTGTGAGAAATAAAATAACAGGGTCATAGATGCTGAAATTTATGTAAAATTTTTTGGTATTTTGCCACAGATTTGAATCTAAACACCTTTTGGTTTTCAGACAGACTTTTTTTATTGTTATAAATGGAGACACAGCTGTTGTTTTGCTTAATTTTCAGTTATCACATAGGATATAATTTCATTTCTCTCACAACATACGTAAATAACTTTGAATTATGTATGTAAATGCATATATTTTTTTAAAAAATACACTTGTTTCTTCCATCTGGATCAGTAGGCACTGATTTTTAAGCATTGAAGGCTTAAAAAACAGACTTGTCTGTATAGTAATGTCAGTTCCTAGTACATATCAGAAATGTAATGTCATTGTTTCTTACTTTTGATATTTATTTAATAAATTATTCTTTTTATTTCAGTTTATGATGTCACAAGAAGAGACACCTTTGTTAAACTGGATAATTGGTTAAATGAGTTGGAAACATACTGCACGAGAAATGACATAGTAAACATGCTAGTTGGAAATAAAATTGATAAGGTGAGAAGTCAGACACTTGGCAGCTTGGTTCTGTATTTTGGTAGCTTTTCTTAATCTTTGATTTATCTTTTAGGAAAATCGTGAAGTTGATAGAAATGAAGGCCTGAAGTTTGCACGGAAGCATTCCATGTTATTTATAGGTAGGTGTGTGAATCTTTATCTTTTCATTATTAATGAAGAGTTTTTAAATGGAGTTTCTGTTACACTGTTCTCTTTATGAACCATAAAATGTGTGTATATAGCTCATGGTTGTCTTGTGCTATAAAACTAACCAACTGTAGAACCAGGTTCCTTATTTTTCTTTCTGTGAAAAACAATAGGATCTCACATCATGTGAAGCCTTACAGAACACAGTCACACCATTCCTCTCCTTCAGGAAAGCCAGGAACCCAGCCCTGCAGTCGCACCTGCTGGTTCATGTGCTGGCAGCAGTGGCACCACCTGAGAGCTTGTTAGAAATGCTTCATTTCAGACCCTGGCCCAGTTTTTCTGAATTAGAATCTGCATTTGAGAAAGATGTTCATGTGATCCGTATGCACGTTAATATGTGAGAAGCACGGTAGAGCAAGTGTTGGCAAATACAACACGGGCCAGATGTGGCCCCACTGTTTGTATGGGAACACACTGCCCGCTCATCTGCGTTGCTGTCTGTGGCTGCCTTTGTGCTTCATGGCAGAGTTGTCATTACAGTGGAGGCAGTATGGCGTCAAAGCCTAAAATACTTTCTCTCTAGCCACTTACAAGAAGACGTTTGTTGACCCCTTGTCTGGCATAGTGGACTGGCTCTACCAGTTGGGAGCTTTTAAAAATTATACTCTCTGGGCCTTACTTATCACAGGTCTGAAACAGAGCCTCGAAGGCAGTTTATAAGAAACACCCTAGTTGATTCTGATGTGAAGCCAGCCTTAGGAATTACTGTTTTAGCTATTCTTCTGTATTAGAACCCAGTAGGAATCAGGAAATGGAAATGGGAGAACATCACATATAAAGAGAAGTGGGGTGGTATAAGTGGAAGGTATAGGGAATTTTAGAAAGGGATTGAGTAGTATCTCTACTGCTTACTTGCTAGGTGTCTTTCATTTCTATATGTTAGTTTGTTCAATTAATATTTATTGAACACTGAGGATACAACAGTGAACAAAATGGTCCAACTTCCTGTCCTCAGGGAGTTTACATTCCAGGCAGGGAAACAGACTTGTATAAGTAAGTAGTGCTATGCAGGAAATAAAACATAGTAAGGGGAGAGGGAATGACCAGGGTGGGAGGTAATAAGGAAAAGTTCTTTGAGAGAGTGCCGTTTGAGCAAGAATTCGTGGTATGAAGATCAAGACGGAGAGCATCTCAGGCTGAGAGAATAACAAGTATTTCCTGAGGTAGGAACCAGCTTAGTGTGTCTGAGCAACAGGAAGAAAGCTGTGGGCTGGAGCAGAGTGTGTGCTGGAGGAAAGGGTGGTGATGATGGGACAAGAGATCTTAAAAGGTCATGTTGGACCTCCTAGGATATGGTAAAGAAGTGAATTTTATTCTAAGCAAGGTGGAAAGCAAGGGAGTAGTGCTGTGATTTGAAAGTCTTTTAAAGAGACTCATTTGTGTGGCAAATGGCCCATGAGAAGCAGAAGCAAGAGGCTGGTTATTCTCTTACAGTGGCCTAGATGAGGGGTGCTGGTGGCGCTGACTGTGGTGGCAGTCATGGCTGGTGGGAAGTCGGCAGATCCAGGAGACGCTTTGAGGGTAGTGCTGACAGCACATAGGTTGGGTGTGGAGGATAAGGGAAGAGAGCAGTCAGGATAAGTTCAGATCTCTGGCATGAGCAGCTGGGTGAATGGTGGTGCCGTAACTGAGATGTGGAAGTCTGAGAAGAGAACAGGTTTAGGCAGAGGAACAGGGAACCAAGAGTTCTGCTTAGACGTAAGACCTGTCTTTCAGACAACCAGTGGACATCGTGGTCACTGGCATTTAGGTGGCATTTAAAGTCATGGGATTGGAGCAATCACTACAGGAAAAACTGGATAGAAAAGGGCTGACGATTGAACGCTGGAGCACTCCAGCAATCAGAAGTCAGCAGAAAGAGGAGGTGCCAGCAAGTAAGGCTGCGAAAGATACGCCAGTGAGAGAGGAGGTGCCAGCAAGTAAGGCTGCGAAAGATACGCCAGTGAGAGAGGAGGTGCCAGCAAATAAGGCTGCGAAACATACGCCAGTGAGAGAGGAGGTGCCAGCAAGTAAGGCTGCGAAAGATACGCCAGTGAGAGAGGAGGTGCCAGCAAGTAAGGCTGCGAAACATATGCCAGTGAGAGAGGAGGTGCCAGGGGTGTTCAGTGTCCTGCAGGCCACGTGAACCAAGTGTTTAAAGGAAGAAGGCGGTCGGCCGCATCAAATTCTGCAAGGGGTCAAATGAGAAAAGGACATTGGATTTGACAAAGCAGAGGCTTTGGTAGTCTTGAAAAGAATAGTTTCCATGGAGTGGTGGGAACAAAAGTCTAAGAAGAGTAGTTTGAAGAAAATTTTGAGATAAAGTGGAAACAACTTATATGGACAACTCTTTGTGACAGTTTTGAGAGAGTAGAGAAACTAGGTGGCTACTGGAGGAGGTGTGGGCTGGAGGGCAGGTTGGTTGGTTGGGCGGGTGGGTGTTTAATGAGACGGACAATAATTTTGGTGGGTTTGAAGCTGACTGATATAATCCAGTAGAGAGGGCACATGATTTTTCAGTGAATGAGAAGGGATGGGATCCCGGGAACTAGACAAAGCGGGGGCTCGGACAGCAGCCGGGATGGTTCACCTGTTGTAACAGGAGTGAAGGCAAAGCCTAAGGATACAGATGTGGGTGGGCTGGTAACCCTGTTAGTGGGATGATCAGTAATTCTTGCCAGGTTGTTTCTGTTTTTCTCAATATAGAGCTAGATCATCAGCTGAGGTAGAGGAGCTTTAAGATGACGGAATAAATAGTCATCTCAGACTGGACAAAAAGGTAGTCACTGGGGAAATACAGGATTGGGGAGCAGGGCTAAGTGCCCACATGCGTCTCATGAACATAAATTTAAAATGGGACTACTGTTCATGGTTGTATGTCATTTATCCAACCACCTATGGCTGCTGGGTCACAGGCACAGAGCAACCAGATTGTTTAACTTAGAGCCTAGATTTTCGTATTCTGAAATGGGAATGATACCTGCTTCAGGGGCTAATTTTAAGAACTAAAAAAATTAAGGAAAGAACTTTGGCGTAGTATTTGAGTAGGGCTTTAAAATTTACAACTCTATCACAAAATCTTGGGCTTATATACCACTAGTCTTCTGGATAGAATTTAAATAGCTCAACTTTGAGAGTTGCAGGAAATTCGCTAATCTTAAACCTGTGGGGAGAGATTTGGCTTTTTATATATCATCAGCTGATACTTCTGCGGTAATAGTTTTCCAGAAAAACGTAGAAATATGATCAGAAGAGAATATACTCTGACATTTTTCCTTGAATTTCAGAGGCAAGTGCAAAAACCTGTGATGGCGTACAGTGTGCTTTTGAGGAACTTGTTGAAAAGATCATTCAGACGCCTGGACTGTGGGAAAGTGAGAACCAGAATAAAGGAGTCAAACTGACACACAGGGAAGAAGGGCAAGGAGGAGGGCCCTGTGGTGGTTACTGTTCTGTGTTATAAACTCTGGGGAACTCCATCTCTTGCATATTTGATCAGATAATGTCATCTTTCTGTATATAAACTCTTTAACTGCTATTTTAGGGTCCTTGCAGTTTGCACATATTTGTTTTGTATCATGGCAGTAAATATTTGCAAGAAATCCCACTTATCGACTTTTCCAGGTAAAACATTATGGTAAGCATGCACAGTTTGCAATCTGCAGTTTTTTATGTAACATAAAATAGGTGTACCTTTATAAGTACATTTGATTTTATGATTTACATTCATCATGTGATTTTTTTAAAAATCCACTTATCTAGTGTATGTTGATACAAGGTCTATTTCTGGTGTCCTTTTCATTTAAATACTCATCAATTACTGAATTAATTGGTATGTAGAACTCCTAGGACCCCTGGGAGATATACAGGTATCATCAAACCTGGCAAATTTCCCTTCAGAAATAACAAAGAGCATATGATTCCGTAACTTTTCTAGGATGTTTGTGGATGGATTCTCTTTTAGTACTAAGCAAAATTCTCTTTACAGGATGTAGTCCAGGCCAATTTATAATTAAATCTCTGTTTGTTCTGATGATGCTTCTAAAATAGCATCGATATGTTAAAGAAGTTTGGTCTTACTTTTAATTTAGTTCAAGAGTAGCTCAGTTGCTTAACTGGAGTTTTAATTCTGTGATATGTACATGGGATTCATGACCCTTTGTGCAGCATTTTTGCTTATGTGGTGTTTGACAGGATAGCAATAAGGTTTCCCCCCATTTTCTTTTCAGAAGGACAGGAATGGTGTGTTTACATAACTCATGTAGTACTTTTACCACCTTTAGAAACAACACCTTTTCCCATAAATGTTGGTGGTGTTTGTGCAAGCACTTCAGTTGTAGCTTGTGTAATGTTAATGAATATCTGTATCTTATGACTTCCATAAATGGCTAGTTGATACTCAAAAGCCTACTTCTGTGTTTTGAGGGTTGGGGGAAAACACACTAAATTATAATTTGAGGAAGGCGTATTGCTTCCAGATGTTGATGTGTGTGGGAAAATACTGTTGCAATGAAAATCTTGGTAATTTACTGTAACAAGTAGCCAATACTTTATCAAAACCAACTTGTACAGACTAATAAATCTTTTCCACAGTATTCAGTTTTCTAACCTCTTGCTGTTGTACACTGTATATTTTTTCACTCATATATTTAATTTACATTGATCTCTGCTATTTTAAGCCTCCAGATAAGTAATTTGTCCTTTCAGGCAGGTACTCTAATACCCCTCAGTAAGATTAATAAGAAATATTAATTTCTGGGCAGTTTGTTCTCTGTATACAGGTGCAAATGATAAACATTTTTGTGGGTCACCTTTGCAATATGTGTGATAATGGGCTGAAATGTACATCTTCACATAAGAAAACCTTACATTCTACGTGGTTCACACTTGTTAGACTACATTTGATTAAAGGTTTTCTGCATTATGTATGTTTTTACTAAATATGAAACATATACTACTTTAATGTTGGAGAAAGATAGCTAACACATGTACTTAACGATTTGTTGTTACATTAGAACTGTAGATTTGTATATTTATGTAGTTTCTGTATTGACACTTCTGTTTATTGCTTTTTGCTCCTTGAACTATATAATACTCTTTCTGTGCATTGGATTGTCTTGACTTGGTCAGAATTTGGATACATATGAGTCACTTAACTTTTAACAACTAATTTTGTTTGATTTATATTGTAACCTTTATAGTGTTTAAATAAATATAGGCTGCTTTCCCTAGATGCATTTGTGCAGGAAGTATTATACATTTCCCTATTACTCTCATCAGCTGAGGAAGTCCTGAATACAGTGTTATTCACATTGTCACTATTTTGTTGCAAGCTTCTTGTTTCATAGTGTAGGTTTTCTAAGTGACGTAGTAGTAATATCTAAAATTAGTCACTTAACAGGATTTTGTCAGTTCTTCCGTTTCTCAGTCATTTGTAGTAGTTTTAAAGTGCCTTTTGCAGATGGAGAAAATCAGAACAATTAGAATATAGTGTTTTGAGTCTGGGAGTACTGAGATAGACCTAAACAAAAAAATAACTTCAATTTATATTAACAGTAATAGTTAACATTTATTGAAAGCTTACTGGGTGTCAGGTCCAGTTCTAAGTGCTGGATTATCTCATTAAACCTCACAGCAACCTTAAGAGATTGGTTGGTACTGCCATTATGCCCATTTTAAAGATGAGGATAATGAAACATAGATAGGTTAAGTAACTTCCCAAAGATCACAGAGCTAGTCAGTGATGGAGCTGGATTCCAGTCAAGGCATTTTCACTCCTGAGTCCGTACTCTTAACCACCGCTCCCTTTGCTACGGCTAGTTTTTGTTTTAACATAGCAGGTTTATCATTCTTTTGTTATGTGTAATAGAAGCTTTTCAGGTTTTTTGGTTACAGAGTAAATCCCATTGATGTAAACCAACTGTGTAAATCATTTGACCAGAGTAGGTGGTCTCTTAGTGAAAATCTTTGACTTAGTAAAGGTACAAAATCAGGGGACTTAGGGCACCTTAATTTCCTATTTGTAATTGGATATGGGAAAAGTTATTAAATCTGGGAACAGCCTTTCGGCTCAAAATTGAAATCTAGGGGATGTTTTCATTTCAAGTACTCAGTTGCCATCTATAAATTCACACTTGGCTTTCTAACTGAATGCAGTGGAATTGGACTTGATTTTGATTTATTGTAATTTGCATACTTGAAATATACATGATTACATGATTCTGTTTTAAGTGTAGGATAGCACAAACCTACCTCATATCTATAATGTCTTTAAATACAGTTTAATATATATTTTTTCTAACTGATTTTCAAGTGAACTGGGATAATCCTCCAGATCCAATAGCTTGTAGGTCTTTTCAGTATTCAAGCATTATGCTTCTATATTTTGGGGTCCATTTCATCAGTCATACTTATGAAGTTTTTGCGTCCTTCATTTATTTTCCCTTGTTAGAGATAGGAATAAAAGCATTTAATCAGTTTTAGAAGATATTATACTAGTTCTGACCCCAGCTATGCTGAGGGTAATCAACTATAGATTTCATCTTGGGTTTTGTCTGGTAATGTTGAAGGAAGAGAATAGAAAGAAATAAGCTGAGTCAACACTTGGAGCTAAGGAATATAGATTTACCCAGGAATCTCCGTTTTTATTATCATTTTTAATGGGAACATCTATCAGGCTAGAGGAAAAGAAACATGCTCAACTTCTGTTACATTATGGGCTTTAAATTTTACTGTTTGTTGCTAGCTTTTTGTTTCATATTTAGGACTCAGTAACATTTCTGGTAGTGGTATAAAGTTTGCTTCAGTGCCTCTTAGTTACAACTGTTTTGTCACAAACGTTTCCAATAGTACTGTGAGCTTCTGTTCTCACAGGAGCTGCCCCCTCACCATCTCTCTCTCACACACAAAAGCAATGTTTCTTTTTCTTTTATTAACCTGATAAACAATAAACTATGTAATTTTATTTGTATTTCTTTGATTACTAGTGTGGTTGGGCACTTTTAATATTTTATTGGATATTTGTATTATTTTCTTTTATTCCTTGTTCATGTTATGTTGTGCTTGCCCATCTGGCATCCACCACCCACTTTTTCTTTGGATAACTGCCCTCCGTCATCACACATGCAGTTTGGATGGGATTGTCGCACCTTCAGCTCTGGAGCTGACGTGGTTATCTTTAACCAGTGCCACTTCCCCCCCAGTCCCCACAGTAAATGGTTCAGATGAGGCTACTTAGTTATAAGATGTTTGCTGAGGCTTCCTCAGGAACTGCAGAAGAAGACACTTTCTTGGAGATAATGTGGTGTGATAATTCTGAACTTGCTGCAGCCAGCTTTTCTATTTAAAGGAGCCAGCCCGAGGGCAGCACTAAGAAAATAAAAGTGTGTCCAAGTTGGACCCTTGATGCAATCTGGAGCCTCTGGATCAAACTGGACCTGAAGTTAGTTACACTTCTGGACTTTTCACTTATGTGAGCCAATAAATTCCCTTTTGGTTTAAGCCAGTTTGAGTTGGATTTTTTGTCTTGTAACCAAATGTGTGCTCTGTGAGTGTATATGGTCTTTGTAGGGGCTCTTTGTACATTGAGTTCAGTATGTTGATGACTATCACTTGAAAAACCATTATTCTTAAGTAACTTAATATTTTAGTGAGGTTGTTTCATATATTTCTTTGTGGATGTATACATATATATAATTTTAAGGACTCCATATTTTATAGGGTCTCATGTTTTTTGGTTTAATTTCCTCTGTCATCCCAACACTCACTCTTCCCCTTTCCCACCTGAGAGAATCATTGTTACAACCTGGCATGCATATATACCCTTTCTGCATTTCTCCATGCCTCTTTAATCATATGCAAGTATGTATATATACATTACTTTACTCCTCTTGTTATTTTACAAGAATGAGATTGTCTGTATATTCATCTCTGCATGTTGCTGTTCTTACCTAACAATAGACTGAAAATACCTCTAAGCCAACTTGGATGCATCTATTATCTCAATGATTGTACAATATTAACATTCCATGGTATGGATTATCACAGTTTATTTAACCATTCTTCTAGGAATGGGCACTTACATTGTTTTCATTTTGGCCTTTGCAGATGGTGCTGCAGTAAGTATCCTTGTACACATATCGTTTTGTTTCTATGGGATAGATATTTAAGAGTTGGATCTATGGGCCAAAGAAAATGTATATATTTTCTAGTTTTGATAGATCTTATAAATTGCTTTCCAAAAATCTTTAACAATTTACATTTCTACTAGCAATATGTAAGCGTATTGTTTTTCCCCCTGCATTCCCCATCAGCAGTAGGAGGTGTTCACAAAATTTAATTTTTGCCACTTTGATGTACATTAGTTTGCATTTTCTTCAGAGCATTTTTTCATGTTTGTAGGCTATTTGGAGTTACTCTTTTTTGAAATGATTATTTATATCATTTGTCAGTTTTTCTGTTCAGTTTTTTTCCTGGTTTTATTATGTTTTACGAGCTCTTTGTATAGTACAGATACTAACCCATATATATGTAAGTTTTAAGCATTTTTTTCTAACCCAATGTTTGTTTTTCAGTTTGTTTATGCTATGTTTTTTCTTACGATTTATTTTTTAATATTTTATATCTTTTGGGTTCCTCGGCTTTTAGACTGTACATGCAATCTCCTTAACCTCTTCTGAGACTTTTGTTTTACTTTTTTCTTTTTAAATCCTTAATACCTTAGAATTCACTTTTGCTTATGACACAAAGTAGGGAGCCATCTTATTTTTCATATGGGTAGCCAGTTGTGTCACTACTACATATTAAATAAACTTTCTTTTCCCCACTGAACTGAAATACCAATTTTGCCCTAGATAAAATTCCCATAAGTACTGGAATCTACTTTGGCCTTCTGTTTTGGGCTCTCTTCACCTTGGAAGGTTATGGATTTCAGTGAAATTGGTTTTCTTTAGTCCCGTGTGTTTCATTTATGCTTTAAAAACATTCTTAGAAGGGCTCTGTGGGTTCCATCACACTATAGCAGAGGCCTGGCAAAACAAAGGTTTTGATGTTAGTGGCTCTATAATATGTTCGTGGCTGATAAGGAAGTCCTTTCTCACTCCTTTCAATTTGTTTTTTTTACATATGATTCTTTCACTTTATCCTTTGCCCATTTTTCCTTTTTGTGGTTCCTTTTTTTAATAGAGGTCTTTTATAAAATGTGATATGGATACTAGTCTTTTGTCACTAATATATATTGCTGAAGTCTTGTCACAATTAGTGGTTTGTCTTTTGAATTTGTTTGAAATAGTGCATAATTAAAATTTTTAAACTAAGAATTAATCATTTTAGTCCGTTTGTAAAAACTAGAATTCTAATTGGAATCACCTGATAAATATTTCTATGTTAATTATGAGAAAACTGACAATTTAATGGTAAGACTTGCCATTAGGAAATGAGATATCTTTCTGTCTATTCAGATTTTATACTGTTTTTATATTTATAGTTTTCTTTACAGACGTCCTGAACCTTCTTTTTCAAAACTGTTCCTAAGAACTCGTGTGTGTGGTGTGTGTGTGTGTGTGTGTGTGTACAGAGTTGGTCTTCTCATTTCAGAATCTATGAACTTGTTGCTAATAAGGAAAAGCTGTTGACTTTTCTGTCTATCCAGCTGACTAATCAATTTGGTACTTTGGTTTAAAATAAGGTTTCTTGGTGCTGGTGGTGCAGTGGTTAAGAATCCGCCCACCAGTGCAGGGGACATGGGTTCGAGCCCTGGTCCGGGAGGATCCCACATGCCATGGAGCAACTAAGCCCGTGAGCCACAACTACTGAGCCTGCGCTCTAGAGCCCACAAGCCACAACTACTGAAGCCCGTATGCCTAGAGCCCATGCTCCACAACAAGAGAAGCCACTGCAAAGAGAGAAGCCTGCGCACCGCAAGGAAGAGTAGTGCCCATTCACTGTAACTAGAGAAAGCCCAGGCACAGCAACGAAGACCCAACGTAACCAAAAATTAATTAATTAATTAATTAATTTTAAAAATAAAATAAGGTTTGTTTTCTAGGTAAAATAGAAAAAATATAATTTGTAATTTTAATACATATATATTTATTTAGAGGAAATTACAGCCATCTGTTTTGTTTCTAATATCATTTTGAATCTTTTTTTGACAAAGTGTTTGGAGGGAGCCTCCCATTTCACAACTGCTGTTAGGGTCTGCAGCCTTCCAAAGAGGCAACTAACATGCAGC